TAAACTATGTCTTGAAGCACCACATCTAAACGTTTTTTGAACACCTCCAGGGATGGTGAGTCCACCACCTCCCTGGGGAGCCCCTTCCAATGCTTAACGACTCTTACAGTGAAGAAGTTCTTCCTAATGTCCAGCCTGAACCTTCCCTGGCGCAACTTGAGACCATTTCCTCTTGTGCTATCGCTAATTACCGGGGAGAAGAGACCAACCCCCACCTCAACTATTTTAATCAACTATTTTACTGATTCATTAATCCCATTTATTTTACTTTGAAGAAAACCACTATTTTAAACATTAGTCTAAAGATACCACAATTGTACCTAAGATCTTCTAAGGTACTTCACATCAGTTATATTGTGTCTTATGCACAGAGATGTGCATTAGAGAGAGGATAATTTGCAGAAAACAATAAAGAGGTACAAGTCCTGCCTTCATCTCTTGCACTTCATTATCTCGCCTTCTCTATCTGTTGATGTATTTATCTTGCTGCCCACTATTTTTCTGAAGAGAAAAGGAATTTACGGGTAACTGGAATTCCCAGACATTCTGGGGTGTTGGAAGAATTAAGTACATTCACAGAACAATGCAGAAACATGTTTTGAAAATGTTCTTTTTTTATGGCCATTTGTGTACAGCCAGAACAAACAGCTAGCATTTGTTTTGTGGTGATACAGAAAGGGTAACCACAGTGTAAGTATCTCCAAAGAAAAAACGTATCACTGAGCTTTTTAAATCTTAGTTCAGTCATTTCTAGACCTAACATTGCAATTGATTATTCATGTTTAATTTAGATGGTTGGAAAACACAGGAAACAAAAAACATCAGTGTGCAGTACTAATTTGGATTTAAGAATCACGGAATCGATTTCGTTGGAAGAGACCTCCGGGATCATCGAGTCCATCCTTTGCCCTACCACCACCATGTCAACTAGACCACGGCACTAAGTGCCACATGCAGTCTTTTCTTAAACACCTCCAGGGATGGTGACTCCACCACCTCCCTGGGCAGCCCAGCCCAATGCCCAGTGAACCTTTCTGTGAAGAAATGCCTCCTCATTTCTAACCTGAACTCCCTCTGGCGCAGTTTCAGACTATGCCCTCTTGTCCTATTGCTAGTTCCTGGGGAGAAGAGACCAACTCCCACCTCACTACACCCTCCTTTGAGGTAGTTGTAGAGGGCAATCAGGTCTCCCCTCAGCCTCCTCTTCTCCAGACTAAACACCCCCAGCTCCCTCAGCCGCTCCCCATCAGACTTGTGCTCCAGACCCTTCACCACCTCCACTGCCCTTCTCTGGACTCACTCCAGCACCTCAAGGTCTTTCTTGAAGTGCGAGGCCCAGAACTGGACACAGCACTCGAGGTGCAGCCTCACCAGTGCTGAGTGCAGGGGGACAATCACTGCCCTGGTCCTGCTGG